CGGTAAAGATGGGACACCACCGGCGGCGAAGAGAGCTAAAACTATCTGTAACTGCATGACTACGAGTTTTAATCTGGTGGATTTGATAAGTTTATTACGGGTTTGATAAGAAATTTGTTGTCTAGGGCGGACCACGTGGGATTAGTGTGCTAATGTAGCTGCTAATAGCTGTTCGGCTAGTTAGCTAAGTTAGCGTCGTTCGTGTCGAAGAAATCCGGTTTAGCGTTATTTAAAAGCTAATTGTGTCTTTATAAAAAATATTAATGAATATTCGAATTTTAATGAGACTTATGACTTTAAATGTTCAAAACATTTAATTTACCAATTGATTAACTTACAAATGAATGAACCAATTACTGAATTTAATCAATTAACGTAATTGAGTCCTGTTCTGATTTACCAATTTTTAGGGTGTTAATAATTCTGATTACTTTAACTACTAACCAGAAGCACCAAATATTTTCAGAGCCCATCCTCAATAGGAAAATTAGTTTCACATAATTTAAAGGACACAAAACATCGTAAGGTTTTGACTGTACAAATTTAAATGTGACTCTAAGTAATTACAAATTGTGAAATGACACAATAGATAGAAACAAGTAACTGATCATCCCCACAAATCCGTAATAAAGTGGTCATTTGTGCAGCTGTGTGAGTTACACACAACTTTTCTCCAAACAGTAAGTAAAGTTGTTGACTTAAGTTTCAGTTATTTAATTCTTTTTATTTAAATTGATGGCTTAAAATGAAAGTGTTAGCGGTTAAGTGACTGGGATGATAAATCATAGTCTGTTAAGATCAAATATCTCTTCTTTTCATATAACTGTTGGTCTTAAGTCCTGCTCCTGAGGACCCCAAATACTGCATTGTCCATCAGTACCTGATCATCTGCAGTATCTGTTCACAGCTGTCAGTGACTTAAAAAACTGCACTTTTAATTGGTTGTATTGTCATTTACTAAACATTGCAACGTTAAATTAATTTAATCCTGTCATGTAATTTTTCCAGCTGTGTCTTGCAATCATAAAAGGGGTGATTGCCAGTTATTGATTAGCAGAATATGTCTGACTTAATTAATCTGTGTAGAAAGGGGAAGAGCAGAAGTCAGTTTATAAAAACTGTCCTAATGTTCATAAAGTTATAAGCCGTCTCTAATTTACAATTTGAGTGTCAATTCTTGGATGAATTGTTGCTGCCTGAAACGGATCGGAGTATGATGCAGTCTGTACACATGAAGCGTGTCGGAGGAAAGCGTTGCGCGATGCGACTTTCTGTTGAGCTGATGGGGATTTTCTTGAATAATATATATTTGGTCTATAAAGTCAAATAGTGAATAATGTCCCTGAAACGTCAACAAGACGTCCAAATGTTCTTGTTCAAAACCCAAATATTTTACGTTGGAGGAGCAAAGAAACCTGAGAATTTTCACACTTAAGCAGGAAATTAATCAATTTAATCAAAATGGCTGGAGATTAATTGATTAGGTGAGGACTAATCATTGCCGCTCCATTGCATCCAACTTCAGTTCTGAAATAAGCCTGAGCATCAAACCAGCATGGCCGCCGCATTTAAAGGCTGATTTTAAACTGAAGGTACAAATTAAATATGTAGTTTAACATCTGGACATACTGAAGCTTCCTGAGCTCACAGGACTGCCATGATTTTTCATTTACCTTTTTGTAGCAGTGTTAACCGTAACGGAGGTCTAGGGAGTTACAATGATTTTGCAGAGTTGTGTCGGTTTTATTTACAGTATGTGATGGTGTACTCTTCTGGGGTCATTCATCAATCCAGGTGTTGCGTTGATTTGAAAGGGAGGAAAGGTTTGTTTCCCCTGTACTGGACAAAATGCACTCAGAGCGTAGGCACTGCAGTACTTACTGTGAATCTTACATCAAACCTGTTTATACTCAGCTGTCAGTGGGTGTAAGTGTGAAGAAACTGCATCAAATTAAGCCTTAAATCTGATCAGGTTGCGCTGTCTCTTTGTCTTGCAGTGTACATGAGGTGCACAGGAGGAGAAGTCGGAGCCACCTCAGCCCTGGCCCCTAAAATCGGACCTCTGGGTCTGGTGAGTGTGGAAATTGTTACAAACCAAACCAGCCTCCCGCCACTATGCCGGTCTGTCAGAGTGACTGAGTATAATCCAGTGGAGGCTCAGATTAAATCAGCTTTAGGAAACAGGGCTGCCCGAACTCATGGACAACTCTGTGCCGAAAAGTCTGGGACACAATCTGAGGCTCCAACGTCCTGCTATTCTGGACGTCACCCTAAAACATTTAATAATTGGTGATTTATGGTATACACAAATGAAACGTGTACATTTTAACACCTAGGTTTTGTATCTCTCAGCTGATCACTTTGTTTTCTCAACAGTCTCCCAAGAAAGTTGGTGACGACATTGCCAAAGCCACCGGTGACTGGAAGGGCCTGAGGATCACCGTGAAGCTCACCATCCAGAACAGGCAGGCAGTGGTACGTATAACAAATCCAGAAGGCCAAACATATTAAATATGAAACCCTCGGGGCTTCGTTACCGCCCAGCCGGCTGTGAAGATAAAGACGCAGCTTGGACGACTGCTTAATCAGTCCTTTCAGGGGTTCGCAGGCCGCCTTGGGGTTGTTGCGGCCTAAAATGCTTGAGTTTAGGCAGAATTTCAAAACTGCAAAATATTGTAAAACTTTGATTAATAGCCTGGGCTTTTATTTGTTAAAATCACTGAATTGACCCTGCCTATATTTGGGACAGGCCTTTAATTCCCCTTACGCAAAACTGAAATAGGCTACTATAAAACAGTATTTATTTAAACAGAATATTGTTAAAAAATCGAATAATATCAAACGCATGTCGTTCATTTGATCTAGCTCCGACAGACGGCTTATGCGCTTTTATTTTGAAGGCAGCAACGTAATGAAAACAGGGTGCAGGATGAGAAGTGTGGCAGAAGTTACCAGACAGAGCGATGGACTTAAAACAGGATTCACAACTTTAACTTATGAAAAGCTGTTTCTGTCAATGTATTTGTGAGGGAGGTGCTGATTTTACCCATTTTAAATGGCAAAAGAAAATGGAAATGCATGTGGCAGTCAGCGTTGGGGGGGGGGGGGTACTCTGGATCCTGTTTCACAGTACTTCGCTGTGATATGTAGATGTGAGACGTTTGTATCGCGCGTCTGCTCCATCTTGTAAACAAGGAAGTGAGTCTGACGTTTTGCAGGAAACTGCGATCGTTGAAATTAATGGAATTTGTGTCAACAGTTGCGATTGTGACATCCCGGAGGGTTAATAACTGTCCTGCTTTCAGGTCGAGGTCGTTCCCTCTGCATCTGCTCTGATCATCAAGGCTCTGAAGGAGCCTCCTCGTGACAGGAAGAAGGTCAAGAACAGTAAGTAACAGTGACATCTTGTAGACTTTTCTTTTTAAACCAAAGTGATAAAGTTGAAGTAGATTAACTGAATATTGACCCCTTTTTTTTCTTTTCCCAGTCAAGCACAGTGGGAGTGTGACCTTTGATGAGATTGTGAACGTTGCTCGCGTCATGAGGCCTCGTTCCATCGCCAGAGAGCTCTCTGGTAAGACGTGCAACATTCAGATTCAAGTTTGTTGTTTTGGTCCCGCCAGGCAGATTCCTCCTCTTCATCTTTTGTCCGCCGGTTAATGGTTTCCGTGTACTGCTCAGCCTCCCGCCACTATGCCGGTCTGTCAGTGACTGAGTATAATCCAGTGGAGGCTCAGATTAAATCAGCTTTAGGAAACAGGGCTGCCCGAACTCATGGACAACTCTGTGCCGAAAAGTCTGGGACACCATAACCAAAATTATTTCATGTAGTTGTCCCCACAGTAAATGTGTGATTAAAAAAAAGATTTGTACAAACACTTAAACGGAGTGAACAAGTCTCCTGTATTAAAAATTTTATTTGTTTTTAAACATCGTGTCGGACCAACAGCCTTGTCTTATTTTCCCACTAGGAACAATCAAAGAGATCCTGGGAACTGCTCAGTCCGTTGGGTGCACCATCGATGGCCGTCCTCCCCATGATGTCATTGACGACATCAACAGCGGCAAAGTCGAGTGCCCAACCGAGTAAATGGACAAAACAAATAAAATGTTCACAACCGAACCTGCAGTTTTTTTTTCCCTTGTTTTACACTAAATGCATGAGATGAAATGTTTGAAGCATCTGTAATTTAACGCAAGTTAATTTACTTGTTATTGAACCAGAGTACTAATTTGAGGTGTATGAATGAATTTTGTGGTATTTTTCTGCTTCATTTCAGAGCCACTATTTTTGCTCCCCCCCCATATTTTAGCTGGCATTTACTGAGTAGAGAATGTACTACAGATGGTGTACAAAGTAGTGAACACTAATCTACAGAAATGTAAATCTAAAAGGGTCGTTTTGAAGATTCAGTGAGCTGATAAGTTTAAAATATATGTAGCATCTTTATCAGCTACTTTAGTTTATTATCCAGCACCTGCATGGGGCTGCTAGAACAAAGGGGTTTAACTTTTAATTTGAAGATTAACTTAAAACCCCTAAAATGCCTCTAATCCACCCACGCAGATGTTTGATTTGGAACTCCGAAACACTCGCACTCAGACAGTGAGAAGTTAAATTTGAGTCTCCTTCATACCTTAAAGCTCACTTGGGTGTAATCTTTTTCCCCCATGCCTGACAAATGGAGACAACTGGTTCTGTATTGAGCGCAAGTTAAATTACTATGTCTGGTGGCTTTGACGAGGATTATGTTGCAGCCCTATTTTGCTGCTTGATCAATACTGGATCAATTTCAAAAAGTTGGACATGAAAATAAGTGGTCCAGGTTGTAAAATACCTGTTCTACTCTTTAAGTCTGGTTATTGGAAACTTGTCAACCAATTAATTCTGAACAGATTCATCTTAAACATTTGTCCACCGACGGTTCCTCGGCTTGGAGCTGGAAACATCTGGTGGGTGTGACGGGTTTTTGAGGTCAGTCACGACTCAAGTGTTTTGCTTTTTTTTTTAATACAAAATATTTATTCAAACTCTCAGCCAGTCGTATACAATACCTACAAAAGTATAAATGGATCAAAACTCAGCAGATTTAAGAACAGGAGCTACATTCACTAGTGCAGCTATTGTTACAAGGTATGAAGTAAAGTGGTCCAACACAACAGTTCATTACAGCAATCAGTGTCTTTTAGGCGTGAAACTGATCTCAAAGGATCACGCTTCCAACTAGGCATTTCTCACATTTAGCGGTTACAAGTGTGGCATTTGTTTCTGGTATTTTGTGTAGTAGTTCGGGAGGAAAACGCACCATATTGTGGTACACACCAAAAAAACAACTAGTGAGTGATTTTTGTTCCAAAAGCTAGAATCAAATTTATGGTTTTCTTTATTTGTTGATCAAGAAGTTCCTGATTTAAATCTAAATTTGATAAATCACGCACTGTGTTTTTACTAGTTCTTGTTCTGCTTTCTTGTGTTTACAGTTAACATTCTTTGGTTAAATAAAAAAAAAAATGGGTTTATATGAATTAATTTGAAGGTACAAGAGGTGCAGTAACGTTTCAGACAAGCCTAACTGGACAACTGCCTGTACTCTCACTCCCTCCAGTGGTAAACCGGAAAGGTTACTCACCAGAGTGTTTTAGTTCAGTGAGCCAGAATCAGCTGATTCTGAACAATAACTACTGTATTTATGTAAAAAAAAAAAAAAATCATGTTACAGAAAATAACAAAACATCAAAAAATTATTAAAAATACAAAATGGACCAAGACAAAGTAATCATGAAGTGCGTGATGTAGAGATGTCTTTGTACTTTCTTTGTTGTCAAGTTGGAAGACAGCAGCTGCACCGCCACAAATAAATGTAACCTCACCTCTTATGAGCTCGTCACGATGCTGCTGCACTGTAAACCTGCATGTACTGATTCACTCTGTAAAGACCACGCGTCACTTGAACGCATCACGTCCAGCCAGTGATAAACTCAGGAGGTGATGGGAGTGCATTTCATCGTTCATCAGAATCTCATCAGTTCTCCACCTCCTCCTCCTCTGCTTCGTTCTCAGCTTCAGGCTCCTCCTCCATGCGCTCCTCTTCCTCCTCCTCTTCCTCCCGGCTCTTATCGTTCTCAGAGTCGGCCTTCTTCTCTTTATCTTTGCGCTTCTGCTCAGACACCTCCTTCTTTCCTTTCTGGCCCTTCTTATACACTGTTGAGGAACACAAGCACGTTAACTGGAAATAAATGACTCAAAGTTTAATATATTTTATATCTCCATCTGTAAATATCATCAAAACTGGCTTTTAGACACTGATGTTCAGAACTAAAGTTGTATTTTTACTGCTGTAAATCCAACGAGCCAGAATCAAACAGGTTTTGAACAGGAATTTGTCTTAGTGTTTTGGTGCATAAAGGCCGCAACTAAAGATTATTTTCATTATCAATTGATCTGTTGATCATTTTCTCGATTAATCAATTAGTCGTTACGCCCAGAAAAAGTGTTTCCCATAGCCCAAGGTGACGTCCTCAAATTTCTTCTTTTGTCCACAACAAAACATATATTCACTTTACCGTCACAGGGAAGCAAAGAAACAGAAAATATTCACATTTGAGGAGCTGGAATCAGAGAATTCGGATGTTTTTTCCTATAAAAAAAATCATCAAAATAGTTGACGATTAATTTTATAGTTGACAACTAAGGGGATTAAACGACTAATCGTTGCAGCTTTAAACAAAGTAAGAGAAAAGAACAAATACTACAAAAGTCAAGAATTATGAATATAAATGAGAAAATTACAATTAAATGATCTAGGGCCGGGGCGATTCATCGACGTAATCGATTACGAAAATAAGTCGACTCGTATTACGTGCACCGAACCGTCGCTGCTTCTGGTGTTAGTGGGATTCCCCCGGACAAGCTCCAGCTACAAGACCGCGCCTTCAACCGTCTAAAGTTTGGGAGTATTTTAGACAGACACTCAACAACGTGCTGCTCCGTGAGCTTCGCTGCAGCACGTCCCACGCCGCTGATTACCCTGCCAATCAGGTCTGCAGCCCACGAATACGTGAAGCGGCATGAACACGTGAAGCGAAAGTTTACTTTCTGTCTCCACACGAGCACGAGGACATGTAGTCCATTAAAATGTATTTCTTTCTTGCCTTTATCGCCTCCATGTTAAAAGTAATTTCGGCCGTCATGGTAACACAATGTTACACTGTGTGTCGTTTTATATTTTATGTTTATTTAACAGCCACGTATGAGCGAGAAAACAGCTATAAGTAAGATTACAATCTGTCCCGTCTGTAACCGTTTGTTTTCTTTGCCCCACGCTTTAAGAGATCCTGCTACTGTCATTATGCAAATCATCAGGATGATTGAATAAAATATTGATTTATTAATGATACATGTTTTTGATATTCATTTTGGATAAATTGTTATATTAATCGAGTAATAGGCTACATTTAATTTTCTTTAAAATACACAAAAATTTGTCGTCAACATTAATCGAAAAAATTAATTGAAATGGAAAAATAATCGTTATGTACAGCCCTAAAATTACACCCACACACGTATGTACGTACGTATGTATGTAGACAGACAGACAACTACTGACTAATGTTAAAATGTTCATTCAAAGTGTGTTCGAGGTGGGGTAAGCGATTCTAATCAAAACACATCTTTGTCACATTCAGCAAATATCTCCTCGCTAGCGTCCGTTCTGTGTGCAGTAGGGCTGACTCCGAATAATCAAAGATGCGATGTTTCGACAGATCGAGGCTGATTTGACTTCTTCGCAGAGGTTTTATGAAAAGGGATATTTTTTTATCTCATATGTATCCTATAATGTTGTAAATAAACATGTGAATAGAAGTGCGCGGTAGAAGAGGAAGAGAGCCTGAGCGACAGCAGCACCGGTGTTGTGCAGAGTTGCGCTTGAACATCCACATTGAACAATATGGCTGCTTGAGCTTCTGTCAGACATGAACTTTCATTTTTTTGTGACGTTTCTCTTCACTGATGTACTGACCGTCCAAAGCTTCTCTGAGAGGCTCGAGGAATCGCTCAAACTCCATTTCCTCCATCGCAGCCAAGACGTCTCCTGCATTCAGAGTTTTCCGCTTAGCTTTCATGGCGAAGTTGTTTGCACTGTAACGGGATAAACATTTCATAATTTAAATGATGGCCTAATGAAACATTTTACACATGACATTCAGGTGACGATTCGAGCAGTCTGGAAAGTTAAGAGTAACTTGACTCGGGACTTCTTTCTTCTGTGTTTGTGTTAAATCATTTGAATGGTACTGAATTTTGTGAATAAATGCTGTGTTAGATTTTGTAAGTGGGTTTTTTTTTTTTTTTTTTTTTTTTAATTCTTACCAGGACGTTGCGTACAACACAAACACACTGGCAGCTTGGGATATGGCTCTCCTCGCTTCTTTCGACACGTTCACCCCGTCTGGGAGCTGTTAAGAAAACAAACGGTGCGGAGGAGTTATCTCAACGCTGCAGTATATAAGCATTTTATCAGAAAAACACAGGCAGGCCGAGGAAGAATTTCTTCACTTGGGGACAAAACATCTTAATATAAAGGAGAATGTTCTTTTGTTTTTAAGAGTCTCAAGAAGCGGGGTTCTATAAACCAATTTATTTTACCTCATTTTAAGGATATGGTGATACTCAGAGGGGGAAATTGTTAAAATGAAGGAAACATTATTATATTATTGAAAAAGTGTGGAATATAACTTGAGAGATATGAAATCATGGATCAGAAAAAATATGAATAAGCTCTTCCTGTAATTGTAGTCTGCTGTGTTTACTCTGTTTTTTTTTTGGGCTTTGCATGCACTGGCACAAATACTTAATTTCAGTTCAACTTTACTGCCAGACTCGGGGTCCATTAGAAAAACATGCATCATCATTACAGACACACAACACCTCCCGAAATACCAAAGCACAAATCCAAAAACACAGGAAAAAAATGGGCGATTTCTATAAAAGACTGTCATATACCAATGCTTCCACAGAGGCGACTGGTATCAGGATTTGTCAGCAGCTTGATGATGCCGTTCTGAGAGCAACCCAGTCGACAGATACATTAGTACGTCAGATTTCTCAGTAGAGCCTGGAAAGCGTTGACTCTTGCCTTACAAATAGGGCTGGGCGATATGGCCAAAAATGTTATGTTATGTTACTATTGGATATCAATAATTATCACGATAAATGTCAAATCATTATTTCTTTCAAGTTCAAAGGCAGATTTTTGCTCCCGAGTGAAAATTGAAGAAACCAATCCAACCGATCATTAAAGTATGCGCTACAAATGTTTTCACTCGCACACTGTGTGAGCACAGCAGCACACTGGAGGAGCTGAGGTTAGTAAAGCTAATTAGTGATGCAAACTAGTCCTTTTAAAAGGTAATGAGGAGACGTTTCATTTTGGATTTTAATGTGCAAATAAAATGCACCTCAGAAGGGAGGAGGTTTCTCATGTTGCCTATTTTTATATTAATGTCAAAGGCTGTAAAATGACGACACAAAAGGCAAACACGAACAGTCGTATCTAAAATGATTCTGAGGTCATATTAACAGGGTTTTAGGGGGTGATGCCCAAAACATGCTGTGCCATAAATGTCAAATCACTGAGGAGCAACAGAAACAACCAAATTAGTTTCTCCAGATCTAAAGGCTGTCGTTACTCCCCTGCAGACTGATCTTTGGCTGTTGGTTATTTATTATCTGCTCTAGCTTTTCCAACTATTTGTTCAGAGATATGGTGAAAATAATGGCCCATTATGATGTGAAATTACATATTTGACATTGGAAAATAACACCAACACATTTAACTGGGAAAACACTGCAGTTTTAAGCTACTCTACGGTGCATCGCATGCTCATGGACACAAGAGCAATGTTTCTGAGACATGTTTGGGGTTTTATATTCATTTTGCTTCACCTCCGCTGCTACAACTCCATCCTAGGGGAAACACTGTGCAACAGGGCAGTATAGAGAGGAGTGAAGAGCCTTATCTTAACATGGTCTCAACGCATATTACATTTTCTTGCTAACATGTTAGCTTGAGCCTAAAGCATACGACACTGCCTATACATGTCATCATCATCAGACAATTGATCTGCGAGGAAGTGCCTCAGTTATAACACTTAGCACTTACCCTAACAGATAAAAAAAACTGGAGAGATGAGGTCTTAATCCCCTTTCCTTCTGCACAGTATTACACTGCCCATCATATTTCACCCCATAATCAGAACATATATTCAGCAACTGTTGAAATCCGGCACAGCTAGGAGAAACAATAGCCAGATCATCGGCATGCATATGATGATTTATTAGAGCGTTACCAATCATACAGCAGTTTTAATTACTTCATCATTAAATTATTGTCAGTATTCTCAAATTTTCATTCCATTCTCTTGTAATTAAATTTTCTCATGAATACTTTTCTAAACATCCTGCCAGATACATAATGTATGTACTATGTACTGTTAAGTACTTCTTCCACCAACTAGTGTTTAAGTACAAATAGCACAGAGGAATGAACAGTATTTGGGTTGGGCGATCTTCTCCATTTACATATTGTCCAATCATGGTTACAGGACAAATGTAATGAGAAACGCGACAACATGTATTTGGGCCTATTATCTTATCTTTAATATCACAATCCAAATCATGACCAATGCAGTGCCCTCGTAGCAGCTCTTCCAGCTTGTGCGGTGAAACCCTTACAAACGGTTCAGAACGCAGCAGCGCGTCTGTTTTTTGATCAGCCCAAAAAGACTCATGTCACTCCATTACTCAGTGACCTCCACTGGCTCCCCGGGGCCTCCAGAATCAAATTCAAGTCACTAATGCCTGCATACAGAGTGACTACTGGGTCTGCACCATCTACCTAAACTCCATAATACAAACTTACGTTCCTTCTCGGCCGCTACGCTCCTCCAACGAACGCCGCCTGGCTCTGCTGTCCCTTCACACAAAGCGATCTCAGTCCCTGTTCTCATCTGTGACACCACGATGGTGGAACGAGCTACCACACGCCATCAGAGCAGGGGCGTCCCTCTCTAACTTCAAGAAGCTCTTGAAAACTCATCTCTTCAGAGAACACTTCCTCTTATAACACCTCTAACTCCTAACCTCTAACATGCACTTCCTGTGCTCTAATTCTTCTATCCCCTACAATTATCCTGTATTGATTGCACTTTTTGTTAACTCTTACTTCCTTCCCTCGGTATTTACCCCATTGATGTGATTTGTATTATGAGCTCTTACTAGTATTTACTGCTGCTCTTACTAGTATGTATTGTCAGTTGTAGATCTGTAGTTGATGCTCTGTTGATGCTTGTATGTTGTTCCTCAAATGTAATAATGCCAAATGAGTACATGTAAATGTAACCATAACTCAACTACTGTGTGTCAGATCCATGGAAAAGAGAAGGCAGGAAAACTGGTTTGTAAATAAGGATTTCAAATTCACTCCTGTGGATTTATGGGGCTCAGCAGGCGAATGGGCGCTCCACCAGAAACATATCTAAATACACAGCAGGGTGCCGATTCTAGAGAATATTTGAAATCATCTTCGTTCTGATAGTTAGTTATATCGGTGCACGAAAAACTAATCGTAGATCATCCCTTCAATCATTGATATACGATCCAATCACCCATCAGCACAAGCCTAGTAAACATTAAATATTTATTCCTTTGCACCATTTGTTCATATATGTTAACTAACAGAAACACTTGACTTGTATTTAGACACTTTATGTTGTTGGTCATTGTTGCTTTTCCTACATTTGCATTTTTTCATCACCTACTTGTATCTATAGAAGTTCTGTTTATATTTACGTATCTGTGCTCAGCTTTGTTGTTCTTGTTTTTCGCTGTAACGTTGTGTCTATTTTCTATTGTTGAAGAGTTCTTGGTTTCCCCGAATTGACAAAAGAATCTTTGCAAGAGACAGATAAAGCTGTTACGGACAAATAAAAGGCCGAGTTAGTCTGCAGAGTAACTGAACTCATCACCTCTGTCTCCTGATCGTGAACTTCGTGTAGAGCACAGTGACACTCTGTAAAACCATTTGAGGCAACTTATTTTTGCACAACGTCACACTACTATAAACAGATCAATAGTTATGTTTCCTCACTCTCAAAAGAAGAGGTTAGGATGTTTTCCCATTTTTAAACAATCAATACGTAACTATTCTAACATAACACACTGATTCAGGTTTTAACATTTACTCTTTAAAACTTACTAGTTGCTTTTTAAAAACTAGCAGTACTTATTTATTAAAGCCCTACCTCCAGTGTATTTTGACATTTCTATGATATTTCATATTTTTCTGAGTCATTTCCTTACAAAGTTGATTACCCACATAGTTAAATAAATATTTTTTTGTCAAATGGATTAATTTTGTGCTCAAAGTTGCAAAACTATAGTAATTCCATAAGTCATACGTCATTCTCCAAGCTAGCGCAGGCGCACTGTCACGCCTCGTTAAGTCAGAGCATCAAACTGATAAACATCGTTGTGAATTAGCTAACCAATATATCATGTAATTTACTTATTCTCTCTATGTCTGATTGTCGGTTTGTTTTTCTAGTTTAGTGAGCTAAGTTAACTAAGTTGTAGTTAGCTAGCATAGTTATTGCAGAATGTTGGCTAACAGAGGGTCTTCATTTTATTTTTTAGTTTCCTCCTCTTGGTTTAGTGTGCTGTTCATTTTCATTAAGCATTTGTGCGAGCGATGTTGGGAGGACAGATGACAGAAAACGCGTCGCACTTTCACTTGCCACCGTCTTATATAACTGGCTGGCCGGAGGGGGCTTTACCTACTACTAACTAATCCATTAGTTACTACTAACTTTTCCCGTTTTACTTGTAACAATTGATTAGGTAGTAGTACTTAAATTTTGGTCACTAGCGACTATTGCATTAGTCACTAGTAACTATTTTTTTAGTTACTAGTGACTAATATCACATTTGCCATTGAAATCTATGTGGCTCTGCAGGTCAGATATCTCCTTTTCATTAGTTAACTAATGGAATAGTGACTAGTAACTATTTACATTTTACTACACTATTATTTATTTACTAACTTAGTGCTTATTGCTTGATTGTGTGTATGTGTACACATACATGGCAATAAAGCTGATTCTGATTATTTTTTAGTCACCAGTAACATTTTTATTCTCAGTAGGCAAGTTTATTTGTATAGCAATGTAAATGCTCCGTATTTGTATAGCGCCTTTCTAGTCTTTTCGACCACTCGAAGCGCTTTTACACTACGTCACATTCAGCATTCACACACATAGCACATTTCAACAACAAGGCAACTCAAAGTGCTTTACATAAAACTAATGAATAGGTACAAGTATCTAAACAATAAATACTAGTAAGATGTAAATACTTACTAGTTACTAATGAATAGGTACAAGTATCTAAACAATAAATA